GTAGTGCACCTCTTTCAGTGGGTGTAGTGCACCTCTTTCAGTGGGTGTAGTGCACATCTTTCAGTGGGTGGGGTGCACATCTTTCAGTGGGTGTAGTGCACCTCTTTCAGTGGGTGTAGTGCACCTCTTTCAGTGGGTGTAGTGCACATCTTTCAGTGGGTGGGGTGCACCTCTTTCAGTGGGTGGGGTGCACCTCTTTCAGTGGGTGGGGTGCACATCTTTCAGTGGGTGGGGTGCACATCTTTCAGTGGGTGGGGTGCACCTCTTTCAGTGGGTGTAGTGCACATCTTTCAGTGGGTGGGGTGCACATCTTTCAGTGGGTGGGGTGCACCTCTTTCAGTGGGTGTAGTGCACCTCTTTCAGTGGGTGGGGGGTATTTGTTGTTATTGTTAGCAAACGTGCGCACAGGAGGGAAGGGGGAAGTAGTAGGCTACATTTGGCAAGCAAGTGGACTTAAAAACGTAAAGAAATGCAGAAATTATTGAATGTTTGGGCTTTTTTAAACCAGTTTATTTCATATTCAACCTTTATTCAATATAATAACAACTATTCAATATACTTTATTCAATATTGGATATACATTAAAACTATTGTGTAAATGCACTAATTGTTGTAGTTCTGCCATTGGCCAACTGACCTTTGTACACTTGTGCCACTTCACTCACTATTCTTGGTTCTTCTCAGGTGGAGGTGATTTGTCACTGACTTGTTTCCCCGCTCTGTGGGTGGGATGCAACTGGTTATTGTGTTCAAACCACTCCAGCTGCTGTGGTCCTTAATTGCCCTATAGTCTGACTTCAAATTCTTTAGCTTATCCCGGCACTGCTTATAAATCTGGGTGTAGCTATGCTGCACCATCATCTCTGATATCTCCCTGCAATGCGCTTGTTTCTTGTCCATCAACACGATGAGGAAATGGAGGTTCAGATGTAGTTTGCAGTGTTGCTGGGTGGCTCATCCAGTGACATAGCTCTGCTGCCAGTCAACAGCTGCTGTCTGCTTATGTCAAAATCGTCACCTCAGAGCAGTCCGCTTGAAGCCACAGACAAGATGGTCCCATCAGTCGGGCTGGGTGGGGGTGGGTGCCGGCAGTGAGCAGACCCTTAACTGGTGCAGGGTGGTACGGAACTGATGAGAGTTGAGACAGAGTCATAATGCACGTGAATTCAGGCACCATGCCCCCAAGTAGTTTCATAGCTATGTCTTTTACACCTGCTTTCTTATTTACTGTTTTATACAAACTGTATTTTTCACACTATAAGGCTCACTTAAAATCCTTTAATTTTCTCAAGCATCAACAGTGAGCTTTATAATCCAGTGCACCAATGTATTAATCCTGACTGTGCTTCCTGACCGCAAACCAATTTTATGTGGTACATCTGAAAAATGTTGAGAGTTATTGAGAACGAGTTGAATAAAGTTTGACTTATCTGACTGTTTTCTTTTTTTGCTTAATGCACCTTAAGTATGAAAACAGACCCGCTCAGTGATATTGCACCTTATAATTCAGAGAGCCTTATAGTCTGACAAAACATAATAAAAATATTTGTAAATTATTTTTATTGTTTTATGTTGTGAGCATGATATGTAATGTTGGGTGTCTGAATGGCTGCAGAGCAGCTGAAACAGAGATAGATATGTACACTATTTATCCATCCATTATCTTTTACCCACTTCTTCTCCTTCGGGTCATGGGGTCACTAGTGCCCATATCCAGCAATCACTGTGCGAGAGGCGAGGGACACCCTGGACAGTTCTGCAGCCCACCACAGGGACACATAGAGACAAACAACCATTCACTCTCTCACTCACACCTAGGAACAATTTAGAGTTACCAATCAGCCTAACATATATGTTCTATTTCATATAGGCTTTGCCCTTTAAGAGCTGTCGCTTAGTGGGTTTATCCCGTCATGCAAAGCATCGCACTGAAAAATTTGGTCCACGCCCACCTGCTGTGTGGGCCCCACCCGGTCCGTATAAATTACGTTAAGAGCGGGTAATCGGCTCCCATTTTTCTTCAGCAAGCTAATAGCACGGTCAGAAGAATGAAGAAGGGAAGTTGCCTAGCTTGACCAGCTCAACCTTTGTTAAGACTGCCTGTGGCCCCGCCACGTCAACGTCCTGCCACCCCGGTCAGTTCTCCTCCCCGAGGAGAAGCAGACGAGCAGTCTTGTTTCAATGTAAGCGCCGAGGAATATTTCTCAGTGGCGGGTCGCTACTCGCTGGACGACGCCATCTTGTAATTTTCCTTTTTTTGCCGACTCTCGGAGCGAATCGGATGGCTTCTCCGGGACAGGCGACGTCAGCAGCAGCCCCCCGCTGCTCACTCCCTCCTGGAGAGCGTAGTGTTGGAACGAGGGGGGCTGAGTGAATGCTCACCCCTCCCCGGACCTTTTTCGCATCGGCGACCACACCGCTTCCAGCCGTCGGTGCCCTCCTCTGGAGCTGCCCGGCATAATCCAGGACGCGGCTGACATGAAGGGACCTTTTCCGTCCCTCTCCTTCCCCCGTCCAGATCGTATGATCTAGCTGGAAGATTTCTGGGCTCTACCCCGGCTCGCCGTCCTGATCCCATCTGGCCTAATTTTCCCAGCAGTGACGTCCTACTGGAACGAGGCCGCAGCCAGTCCTGGTAGACTGAGGGCGCCGGTTCCCACATCCGTGCCCATCACTAGAGTGGAGGGGTTTCACCGAGCGGAAATTCCCTAGGTGCCCCCCTGGCACGCGTCTCACCGCAGCGGTGTCAAACGCGCGCTCCCGCGGCACCTGCAACCTTCACTCAAACAGCGTGGCGTTGTTGAAGGCGCGCACACCGCTTCCAAGCGCTCGCCGGCTCGCATCAGCACACCTCTCCTCAACACATGCCGGTCCACATCAACATGAATGTGAACCCGCAGCCTGAGTGTGGCACAGAGGCGCGCTCAGAGCCCTTTTGAGGAAGCCTTGCCTTGGGTCACGCAGAACACACTTCCGCGGCGCATGACGGCGGTCGGGGCGGTAGACTGGCTGATGTCCGTAAGAAACATGACGCACCACCTAAACGCACGCCCACTCCACGAACGTCGCGCGGAGTGGCTGCGAACATGCTCGCCAGACAGATGGATGGCCAAGCTGATAAGCAGGGGTTACACGCTACAATTCGCAGCTCGACCTCATCTGTTCGGAGGAGCTTTAGAGATGGTCCTATCATCACCAGACCAGGTCTCATCCCTAAATGCAGAAGTCCAGGAACTTCTGGTAAAATAGGTAATTTCCAGAGTTCCCGACAGAGAGTAAAACACAAGTTATTTTACTCACGTTACTTCCTGGTTCCAAAACGGACCGGAGGAACGAGACCGATTTTGGACCTGTCAGTTTTCAACAAGGCGATCGTGGACAGACCGTTTCACATGTTGACAACCAGACAACTGTTGGACAACATCCAGAGAAACGACTGGTTTAGTTCCATCGATCTGAAAGACGCCTACTTCCCTCGCGCCTCGTACGTTCTCAAAGTGTGTGGAGACAGTCCTGCAACTGTTACACAGAGTAGGGATGAGAGTTTTGTTTTACCTAGATGATCTGTTACTGCTGTCACGCTCCAGACGGGAAGCAGCGGTGCAAGCTCAGGTGTTGACGTCACACCTGCTAAATCTGGGCTTTGCCATAAATTGGAAAAAAGCTCGATTCTCCCGGCCCAGATGATTGTTTATCTGTGAGTGGAGCTAAACTCGACCACCATGAGGGCTCGTTTATCACAGACGAGAATCAATACTCCAAGAGTCTAGCTCCGCCACGTAAGACCGGGCAGAGTGGTAACAGCCATTTCTGTCATGAAGCTGTTAGGAACGATTTTGTCAGCTCACACAGTGGTCCCGCTGGGTTTACTCCACATGCAACGCCTCCAGAGATGGTTTGCTCGTCTGCGCGTGGATCCGGTAAAGCAAAAGAGACGGATGATCACTGTTCCTCCCTCTGTGAGAACAGATCGCCGACACTGGGAAAAAACCCCTGGTTCTGTCAGAGGGAGTCCCTGTCAGCAGACCTATGTCACACGTGTCAGTCTTCACAGACGCATCGTTGTCAGGCTGGGGGGGGGGGGGGGGGGGCATGCCTATCTTGAGCTGTAGGGGTGCTGTGGCCTTCTCACACAACAGCTCATATAAACGTTCTGGAATGTTGCATGGTTCTGAATGTGATTCAACACTTTGCTCCTGTGCTACAGAACCAACACATTTTGATTCACACAGACAACAAGGTTACTGCTGCATACATAAACCGGCAGGGGTGTGTGTGCTCAGCCCAAAAGTTACTCATTGCGAGAAAACTACTGTGTTGGGCACACCAAAATCTGCTCTCCATCAGGGCAGTGTACATCCCCGGTGTTCTGAACAAAG